ACTTGTGTCTGAGGGGAGGAGTGCACACCAAGTACCAGCAGAGTAGTACCGTCTTCCCCACCCGGACACGGTGCACCCTGATTATGAATGCATACAAGCCATCTTTCCAGTCCAATGCAGTCATGAAGAGGGTGTGTTGTCCCGGGGGAAGAGACTAAGCATAAGGGCATTGTTGTCGTGGAACCATGGGACAGACATGTGGATCATTCTTGTGGGACCACGAAATGTCTCTGGTAAAAGTGCAGGATCAGCACTGCAACATGCGGATGCGAAGGTGTATACCTTTTTCTTCTTCCTTTTTTTTTTTTCTCGAGAAAAAAGCCCAAAACGCAAGGAACTCCCATTTTCACTTTTTCCATCATTACACCCCCTTGAGGCCAGGTATTCCTCACGAACAACCGGGACAACCAAACCCAAACACTGTGACCATTGGAACCGCCATTGGAGCCATCAGACCCACTACGACCTGGAAAACCTGGGACCACCATTGGAACCATTACCCACCATCAGAATCATTGGAACCATCGGAACCTCTGAAAAACCTGGAACCAACATTGGAACCATTACCCACCATCACATCAGAATCATTGGAACCATCGGAACCACTGGAACCTCGAAAACCTGGAAGAGCACTGGAGCCATTACCCATCTTCCATTACTCTATGCATCAGTCTGGGCACCCTGAAACCTGGGGGTAGCTCCAAGGTTGCCCTGCTCCTTTTTGGTTGAACTGTGAAGCTCAAGCTCAAGCTGTAGCTCAAGCTCAAGCTCAAATTTATGGTGGAGAGCACCATCACCACCATCACCTGCCCACATTCCTGTGAGCCCAAGGTTGCCACTCACATGCAAGGTTGCATCCAACCAAGCCTGAGCTTTCAACAAACCTCAGGAACCATTAACCATAAGATATCGACCCCTCGGGTGATAAAGAGCTTATGGTTGATGATTACTGAGGATTGTTGAAAGCTCAGGCGGTCCGCTAGAGGAGGTGATAAGAGCATCCTCCTCCTGTAGTGGAGACCACCGGCAGCTCTGATCTATTGCTGGGGGGGCAGCAGGTGCTGGAAAATTGTGGAAATCGAGTCCAAAAAAAAAAAAAAAAAAAAAAGAGCCTGACAGTGTCCGAGAACTGAAGAACTTCTGAGACTCTAAACTGTCTAGCTCTACTAATAAGGACTGGGCAGGTGGGAAAGGGTCTGAGAGAACACAATGGCACTGAAACACAGAGAAGCAGTCCACCTTAATGGATCCTTTGAAAATAAAACTCAAATCTCCCCCAAACCAGTCTAGTTCCACCAAGGCCTGGGCAGTTGGCAGAGGGACTGGAAAGTCAAAAGTCCAATATCAGCTTTGGGTTATTCTCCCCCTCGCTTGCCCAGTCTCCTTCTTCTGCTATGAATTGCCCTGGAATGCCCCGGGCCCGCAAATACTAACCGCACCATACATACTATACATCTGTCCCTCTCCTCCCCGAAGTCAAACAGGCGAACCCCCTACGATCATTGTGTTCCGGGCCCTTCGCCTGCTCTCTCTCTCTCTCTCTCTCTCTCTCTCTCTCTCTCTCTCTCTCTCTCTCTCTCTCACACACACA